TGTCAAAAGAGCAGGCTGGTGTTTGTATGACTGCCGGCTCGTTACGGCCCCCGTCATTAAGTCCGCGTGTGTCAGCCTTGCCCTGGCGTTCACGGCGGCACAGACAAGAAAGGAGTCCCCCCCTCAAAAACAGGGGAGTGGGCTGAGAGTCATGATCAAGCTAAATGGTGAGCTCGAGTCTAAGACTTGTGTAGGTAAATTCAAAGTGGACTCTCAGGAGACCTGTAAGTGGGGACCAGGAATGCATTTTACCAGCCACTTCATTGTGTCCTGTTTCCTAACAAGTGTGCTTGAACCACCTGTTTTGTTTGTGATGCAGAAAACACAGGCTGCGGGCGAGGGTGTGCTCTGGCTCCCTGGTTAAGGGAGGTGTTTGATCAGCGTGGCTGGTGGATGGACGGGGTCTGGGGGTACAAACTATAGCCCATTGTACTTGAGACCTCAGACTGCGCTGGATGGGCCAGGGGCCCGTGTTGATTTCTAGGGAGGTGATGGAAAGTTAAAATAATTTCAAATGAATAGTGGACAAATGATGCCTTACCGTTCTCCTCTCCCACCATCGATCTTAAGTACGTGTGTCAGAGGAGACTAGAAACCTCCAGGATTAGCGGAAGCTGGGGGACAGACCGTGCCAAAGGATCGTAGCATTCTAGAGTCAGAGCTCAAAGGGACCTTAGCAGCCGTCAAGAAAATGCACCTGTCGAAATCTGAGGGCAGAAAACAAAAAAGCATGGGGCAGGTTCCCCTTTGTCACCTGCCCTGAGATTACCAGTAAAACATTTAGTGAGTTCTTCCAATCATGCCTGAGAGGGAACATTTTGGAACAAGTAGGTTGAATCCCTGATTCTGCCACTTACTACCGAGATGTGGCTTCAGGCAAGTCCCATAACTTCTCTTGGTCTCAGTTTCCTCATCTGTAAAATGAGGGTGTTGGACTGGATGACTGCTAAGGCTTATTTCCTCCAAGGTAGTCACCATATGGCTGCCTTCTGGGCCCAGCCCAATAAAGGACACGTTCCTGATTGTATGTATAGTCACATAAAATATCTGAACAATTGTACGTTTTTGGCCTATAGTGTCTGTGGTTTCAATCTTCCTTGGCCAGGTGAGATGCAAGGAGTGATTCTCCGTAATGGCACCCAAATGGTAGACATTTACTTTGTGGTTAATTAATAAAGGCAAGGGGAACTTTCCCCTTAACTTTTGGTTAAGATGAATTAGATGGGACAGAGTTGTTAATATGTGAAAACCTTAATCCTAAGAAGACTGCATTTTACCGTGATAGCAGTAGCCAGTTACCCTTATCAGATGCCCCATCCCAGTAATTAAAAACTCCTCAGGTAATGTGTTTTATCTGCTTGCCCAGGAGGGGGAGGTCTTTATAGCGAACCCCCTTGCTCATCATCTGGGAGTGAACTCAGAGCTTCACCTGGTCACTCACTGCAGTTTTACATGGATCCATATTGGCTTTAGCCATCTGCTGGCCATTTTTGCAAAACATGACTCTGTTTTTCATTAGACTGTTGAACATAGGCAGAATTCTTTTATTCCTGGGGATTGGTGTGTCCCAATGGAGGAAATTGGGCTTGGGGTCTGGAGTTTTTAATGTCCCACAAACATAGCCACATACCATATGAATATTTGTGCCTAATAACAGTGCATTGCTGATATTAACCACACAGTGAATATTAAGTGCCTTCTATGTGCTGGGCCCTGGGATATAAATATTCAAGTGAGGCAGTTCCTGCCCCAAGAAGCATCTACTAGGGAGGCACACATGTTCACAAATGAATCAACTGTAGGAGAGGGATAAGGCCTAGACTTGGAGTTTCATTGGTATAAGGGAATTCCCAGGTGAGGAAACTCCCTCTACCAATGCAGGTTGGCACCTTCTCCGCAACGTGTAGTCTTGGTTGCCTATAGCAGTGAGAAGGGTCACAGCCAGGGTGTATCAGAGGGTCTTCCTTGCTTTGAGACCAGCTCTCCCACCCCTACACCAAGCTACCTGGGCCTTTGGGTGCAGCATCTACACAAAGTAATTGCAGAGTAATCTTCAGAGAATGGATGCTGACAATGTGAGGAATCAGGAGAAGGCCTCTCCAAAGACATGGCCCTGGAGCAGCCCTTAGAAGGGGTTCCAAAAGAAGGAGGGCATGCCCGGCATAGGGTATGGCCTGAGCAAAAGCACCAGTGCATGCTACAGGATAGGGACCAACCAGGGCTGACCTCCAAGCTATTTGGTTGGAGTGTAGAACGAGGGAAGGGAAGTCATGTGACGTCTGTCTGGAAGGATAGACTGGGGCCATATTGGAAAGGATGCCCAATGCCAGACAAAATGTTGTTATCCGAGAGGCAAGAGGGAGCCCCCGAACTTTCTTGAATAATGGAGTGACAGTCAGACAGTCATTCAAGTACTTTAGGAAAATAATAACAACTAGCATTCATATAGTACTTCAAGGTTTGTGAAACACCTTACAGATATCTCATTTTTACCTCACAACTATGGGAAACAGGTGCTATTTTTGTCTCCATTTTATAGATGGTGAACTGAGGCAGGTAGAGGTAAAATGACTTGTTCAAGGTCACTTATCTAATCTCTGGGGTATGATTTGAATTTGGGTCTTCCAGACTCCGGCTGCAACCCTAACAGTTGCATCGACTCACTGGCTGTCACTTTAATGACAACATGGAGTATAATATGGAATAGGGAGAGACTTCAGCTGAAAGTCTATTGCAGTAGTCCAGGCGAGAGGCAATGAGGGCCTGAGCTAGAGTGGTCACAGTGTGAGCAGAGCATGGTGGTGGGAGAACTGTTGGGGGAGGTAGGACAGGCAGCATCTGGCAACTGACTGGATTTGGTGAAGAGGGCATAGTGAGTGTGAATGAAGAATCAAGCCCGAGTGACCAGAAGAAGAGGGGTGCCCTTGGCAGAAACAGGGATGACTGGAGGAGGGCTAGCTTGCAGAGTGGATGATGAATTCTGTTTTGGACGTGTTGGGTTTGGGATGGCTGTGGGATATCTGAGTTGGAGATGTCCCGCAGGTTGTTGGAGATGTGGAGTTCAGGAGAGAGATCAGTGCTGAATGTGTCGATTCAGCAGCCACTGCCACTGAGGTAGTGGCCAAATCCATGAAAGACGAAAAGATCACCAAGAGAGTGTAGCATGAGAAAAGAAGGCCCACGACGGAGTGCTTGGGCATACTCGTGGGTAGAAGAATCATCACAATGATTCTTCAAAGAGCCTGAGAAGGATCAGTCCAGCAGGGAGGAGGGCAACCGTGAAAGCAACAGAACAGTGTCATGAAAACCCAGGGAAGAGAAGACATCCAGAAGATGCTGCGGAGAGGTGCAGAAGGATGAAGCCTGAGAAGGACAGTGCCCACCATGATGCAATCATGACCTCTCAAATGATTGCAGCTTTCAGACTCACCTGAACAAGAATCCCCACTATGACAGACATCAGAAGCGGGCATCCAGTCTTTGGCCCCATCTCCTGCCTCGTCCCTTTGGCCTAACCCAGGAATCTTGTTTTGAGGAGTTTTAAAATATTCCATCTGGTTGGAGCCTTTAACCTAGCTGGAGTTTTTGCCATTGGTTTTCAGACTTATCAAATCAGCCTCTGGGTGGTGGCTGTGGGCGACTGCCTTGTGACATTTCTGTTGGTATATCTGACAGCTGACAAGCTGTTCTTAACTTGTCCGTGTACTGTGCTCCTGCTGTTTCTGCAACACACCGTTCCACTGTCCATTGCTTAGCCAAGTCAGAACCCTCCTCTTTTGTCCAATCTCAAGACAAAGCACAGCTGGGCCGAGTGAGGTTTCTAAGCAAGGTTTTTCCCTTCCACTCTAAATCTTTCCCCTTCATTTCAGCTGCTACCATGTACTTTCTGATTATAGACATGGTTTTTGTTTGTTTGATTGGTTTTTTGGTTTGGTTTTGAGGGTTTGGGGGGACTTTTTGGTTTGGTTTTGCTTTGTATTTTTTGTATGGGTTTTTTGTTGTTTTTTTGGGGTTTTTTGTTTGTTTTTTTGGCTGGGAGTTTAGCAGCTTCCAAGCATTTTAAGGGAATTGTAGAAAGTGCTGCTGATTATCTTAGTAGGGAAAGGATCTGAATTGGTTAGCTCAGCACTCTCTTTGCCATAATCTCCGTGTAATAAATAAGAGCATATGAAAGGATTAAATAAATCTTTCCTAATACTTTTTGATTGGCTTAATCAATAATTAATCATCTTTAGATGAGGCTGTAACTTGTGGAGTAGATATAATTGGATTAGCCATGGAGAGGCCACTGGGGAGCTTTGAAGAGATTAAAATGGCTGTCAATCCCATAATTAAACTGCCACAAATAAAAGCAATCTTGTTTAAAAAAAAAAAAAAAGAGGAGGAGGAGGGTGAAAAGACCCAGTGAGCAGGGGGAAGGGGGCCAATTCGACATCAAGCAACAGGTACTTCAGCACCACAAGAGACTGGACAGAGGGAAATGCTGATGTATTTCCCTAAATGAATGAATGTTTCTGTTGGCCCCACTTAATGGCATGCCTGGTTCATGGGGAACAGGTGAAACTTTAACAGCTCCCCCAGCTTCTCCCGTACCCCAGAACAAAACAGAGCCACAAAAGGGAAAATGGAGATGGCTTTTTACTTAAAATAGAAGAGACCTGCCCCTTGTCCAGAGCCCATTTAGGCCCTGACTTTTCATGCCTTTTAATTGGCTTAGTAGGTTTGGCCTCTGTGAATGAAGCCTTTTATCTCCCTCCCTTTTGCCCCCCTTCCTGCACCCCTTTCATCTTTCTTGTTCCAAACGCACAGAGAAAGCTTCAGGAAAACGCTTTGGTTTTAAAGACTTTTTTTTTTTTTAAAGGATGTGGATTTGGGGGGGAGTTGGGGTGGGCGGCTGTGTGTGTGTGTGTGTGCGCGCGTGCATGCGCGTGCACCCACCCGAAAGCAAGCAGGAGATGCTGGTGAATACTCTCCCCCCTCTTCTCTCTCCTTTTCTCCAGAGAGGAGGTGATTAAACCAATGGGGGTGAGGCCGGATGGGACAATGGCTCCTTTGGAGGAGACCCTCTGCCAGTACCACGCCACCGCCACCGCCACCGAGGAGAACGGCTCTGACTCCGACTGAAAGAATCACCTGCTCCACTCTCAACATCGCTTTCATCAGCATCTGTCTCTGTAGCCCCAGGGGGAGTCTTTTCTCTCTGACATCTAGGCCCTTGCTTTGGCTGGAAGCGCATCAACTGGTTTACTTCTTCAACGTCCGGAACACTGAAAGGGGTGATTCTGTGGGGTTTGCAATATTGAAACTGAGGCATTGGTACGGAATATCAATGGGGTGCAGTTCACCCAAGGGCTGGGGGGAGGGGTGAGGGGAAGTGGGGTTGATGTTTCACCAGGATGGGACTGATGGGCCACCTCAGAACACTGGGGCTGCCAGTGCCCCTAGTCAGAAAGGATGGCGGCATCCATCCGCTCAGTTGGACCAGTGCCCCCTTCCATGCTCCTCCGAAAGATGGCACCGTGTTCCGTGTGTTAGATCGTGCCTGATGAGGTAAAGCCAGAGCAGCTGCTTCCTGACCCCAGTATCATCTCACCACTTATCACGTCTCAACTATATTTAAATTTATCATATGAATATATATGTATACACACACATGCACGCAATTGCACAGAGGCCGCCCCCAGCCTGCATTCTTCTTGAAGCCCATTGTCTGTAACTCAGAATGCAATTTCCCATAGACGGGTCATTATGCATGGTGGTTAGGTTCCTAGATCAGCCTAAAAAAAAAAAACCAACCCTATTTAATTCCCCAGCTCTATTTAACCTACAGCGTCCCTGATGTATTGTACATAATAATAGAATAGTTTCTAGCTGATATTGCCCCTATGGGGAATGTGCATTCTGAGTTCCGAATCAGACGGCCTCAGATACTGGTCCATCACCCCGGCAGTGGCTGCAGGGCTAGGGTCTCCAGCAATGACAGCTGCTTGGGGGTGGGGGGCATAGGGGAGACCAACTTTGGTGGCTGAGAAAGCCAAGGGCTTAGGCCCAAGTGGTGTCTTTGTCCGTTGGGGGCCGCCTTTCTGTGTGTCTATGTGTCTCTAGAGATCTGTTCATTACCGTACATAATCAGGTTGTTAATGGTAACTTTATACATTTAAAAAAACAAAAACAAAAAGTAAGACCACACAATTGTTGGTTACTGCTCATTTTATTAGGGATGTTCATTTTTATTTTTAGAGCGTGTCAGGATTTTAGGACCGAAGGGTAGAAAAATGAATCATGTCATAGAAAGGGGGACCTACTAGAGTCAAAAGGAGTTTGGTTTCCTTTTTATACATATATAGATAATGTGCTTAACCACTGCCTTTTAAAACTTTAAATTAAATAAAATATTGGGGTTGATTCAGCTTGGCCACTGGTGTGTTTCTTTATGGGTAGGCAGAGTAAATGCTAGTGACGTACACTCCCAAGTTCTTAAATTTGAAAGGGACGTCAGGGGCATGGAGTCCAATCCCCTGCCTCTACACGAATCCCATCTACGGCATCCTGACAGAGGATCTTGTAGTCCCAGCCTGAACCCCTCCAATGACAAAGACCTCCAACTTTATAGGGTAATGTGCTCTGTTCTCAGAATGTTGTCATTGTTAGGAAGTGAAGTCAGGAGTGTGCGTTAACATGACCCCAGGTTGCATCTTACCCTTTTTCTGTAGAAAAAGTGACAGTCACTCTTACTCTACAGTGGTCCCCCATTTTCCCCCTTGCTGAACAGCTCCCCCTTCCTAAGCCTGATATTGGCCTCTAGGGGCATTTACAACTTAAATTAGCTACTACCCAGAGCAGTTGTGCAGGTACCAATGGGAAAATTCTGCCACCACCCCCTAAATCACATCGTGACAGCAATAGACCCCTTTTCCAGAGTGAGCTCTGCATTTGGGTGCAGTGACCAGTAAGTGTCAGCTTCATTTTTCCTTTTCATTTGGGGTGGGACAGAATGGATGGATCATGGTCTGGACCTCAGGCCTCCTTACATTATCTTTTCCTCCCAAACCACCCCTCTTCCAGATTTCCCCGTTTACACCCAGGGCTTCTAGCCACCAGCCTCCTACTGGTCACCCACATTCACTTCAGATCTTTCCCCTTCCCCACCTCACATATCCAGTCAGCTGCCAGACTTTGTCATTTTTACCTTCTGATCAGACTCTGATCACCCATCTCCTGGACTATTACAATGGTCTTCTAACTCATCTCCCAGCTTCTAATTCCTCTCCATTCCAAGCCACAAAAGGATTTCCCTCAAATGCAGTTATTCCCCCATGACCATGTCATTCCCATCCTCAATAAACTCCAAGGTCTCTACTGTTCCCAGGATTAAATAGTTCATTTTGATCTCACCTCTTTTTAATTTCACTTTTTGTGCAATTTTTGTAGTTACACAATTATTAGTACAGTAGTAACAGATATAATTTACCAATGGGCAAATGTATACATATTGGGGAATGCAGCCTCAGAAATATTTTACTGATAAGGATCATCAGTAAAATGAAATGATCAAAAATGTTTAGAGACCATAGGCTTATATCAAAGTGAAATTGACCTCCTTCCTACTCTGCCTGTGGGTTCCAGGTCAGATGCAGTATCAACCTAATGCTATTCCAGCGCTTCAGATATTTGAAGAAAGCCATTGTGTCCCCGCCGGGAGTATTCTCTTTTTCAGGTTAAATCTCCTCAGTTCGTTTACCCATTCCTCATATGGCATGCTGTCAAGACCCATCCCCATCAGAGTGACTCTTCTCTGTGGGAGCTCTAACCTGTAAACATCCTTGTAGCCCACAGGACTCCACACAGGCGTGGTCTGACCTGGGCAAGACAGAATGGAGCTGTTCCTTTGTTCTGAAGGCTGCCATTTTCTGTGAATGCAGCCCTCCTCCTATTTGAGGGGAGAAGAGGGAAGGGCAGGAAGCAGCCCTATAATTCACTTGTATTGAGTTAGCAGCTAAAATCTTGAATTTTACCCACATCTCCAAGCTGGACTTCTGCAGTTAATTTTTTTAAACATGTAACATCCCTAATAAAATAAGCATTTAACTACCTAGTAGGCAGTATACTCGGTGCTAGAGATACAGAGACAGAAGTGAAATGGTTCCTGCCCCCAAGGATCTTAGGGGCAAAAGACATATTAAGGTATTAGTAAATACAAGATAGATGCAAAATAGATTAAAAAATGATGGGGAGATGATGTGGGTGGGATTCATGTGAAGGGGAATCAGGAAAGGTCTGCGGGAGCAGGCAATACTTGAACTAAGGTTTGAATGGAGCCAAGAGTTTCAAGAGGCAGAGAGAAAGCAGGATTCTATTTATTTATCCCTACAAAATTTCAGCTGGTTAGTTCCTGCCCACTGAGATACCTTTCTAGATTCTAACTGTCATCTGGTGCCCTGGCTGTCCCTCCCAGTTATGTGTCATCCTTCAGTTTGCTGAATAAAAAGTCTATGCCTTTATCCAAGTTATAGATGAAAAAATGGAACCCAATGGAGCCAAGGACTCAGAGCCTCTGTGTTACAACAGGTCTCTGGGTAAGAACCCAAGCTGTTAAAACTGGAAAGACCTCTGAGAATGTAAGGTTTGGAGGGGAAGGGGAGTACTATTTTTGTTGTATTCCCAGCACTTGGGACAGTGCCTGTCATACTGTTTCAGTCACATCTGACTAATCATGGCCCCATTTGGGTTTTTCTTGGCAAAGATACTAGAGTGGTTTGTCATTTCCTTCTGTAGCTCATTTTACAGATGAAGAAACTGAGGCAAATAGGGTTAAGTGATCCACCCAGGGTCACACAGCTAGTAAGTGTCTGAGGCCAGATTTGAACTCAGGTCTTCCTGACTCCGGTCCTGATGTTCTGTGCTCCTTAGATGCCCATGTAGTTAGTGCTTAATATAGAAAGTCCATGCTGATGTGGGTAACATGGAAATATTTTGCATGACTTTGCATTGTAATGAGTATCATATTTCTTGCCTTCTCAATAGGTGGGGGAGAAGCTGGAGGGAGGGAGAGGATTTGGAACTGAAAATTTTTTTGAATGAATGTTTGAAAAAAAGGAAAGTCTATCCCGGATCAGATCAGCAGTCCAACCAACCTGGCAGGACTTTCTATTGCTTTTGATTTCTCTTCTTGTACCAAGACAAAGTAGAGTTTGGTAGAACCAAAACCAGACTCATGAAAGGAAGAAAATGTGTTTATTGGATCTGGGATAGACTATAAATAATCTGATGTGCACTCTTCTCCATATCCGCTGAAAGTACATCAATCCATCACCATTTACCATTCAATAAATATTGACTAAGCAAGCAACATGGCTTGCTTGGGCTGGGTGCTTGACATACAAAGAGAAGAAACCATTCCTGCCCTTACTTAAGGGACTTTCAACTTAGGTTAATGAGACAATGCACAGACAGTTACAATACCACTGGAAGATGATAAGTCATTTCCATTGAAGGCAATGGGGGTGGGGTGGGGGGCGGTGGGTAAAGTGCAAGAACTGGATTCAGGAAAAGCTTAGGTTTGAGTCTCATTTCAGGCATCCTTCTAGTTGTGAGAGAAACAAATGAGACAAGGCATGGGAGAAGTGTAAATCTTCAAGTTCTAAATAAGTCAGCAATTATTATTTTCTTATTTTTGTCTATTTTTAAGTAAGCATCAGATAGATGGGTCCTGGATTCCAGGACCCATCTATCCTGTTATTTTCCCTTTATATTTAAGCTGCTTAGGTAGCAGAAATGATGACTTTCTGTAGTGGAGTAGAAGTTTCAGGATGTAAGCATATCTGGAGATTCAATGAAAGCATCCTTGGCACAACTCCCCATAGCCTTAGCGTGATCGGGGCTGTGGTTTCTTAATATTAGATATGTGTCTAAGGAAAATCACTATAGAAGCTGCTAATGAGGAAGAGGATGATGGCGGTGGTGGTGCTAACAATGGTGGCAGAAGTGTAAGACTGCCAAGGCCTGTTGGTTTTACTTTCATAACATTTCTCAAATATGTTCTTTCTGTCTTCTGACCCCCTGGTCTAGGCCCTCATCGTCTTACACCCGGAAGATTGAAATATCCTGCTGGTGGGTCTAACTGCCATAAGTCTCTTCCCTCTCTAGTCTACCCTCCCACTCAACTGTCAAAGTCTACCCAGTGCCCCAAAACTCCCATAGCTCTCTATCACCTTTAGATTCAAATACACAATTGTTTGGCATTCAAAGCCTTTCACAACCTGTCCCCATCCCACTTTACCACCACTGCCCACCACATACCCTTCAATTCAGTAATGCTGGTCTCCTCTCTCTTCCTGGAACAGAACACTCCCTCTTCTAGCTCCAGGCATTTTCATTGGCTGATCCCCAAGCCTGGACCGCTCTCCCTCCTCATCCCCACCTGGCTCCCCTGGCTTCCTCCAAATCCCAGCTAAAACCCCACCTTCTACAGGAAGCCTTCCTCAATCCCCCGACTTGATTCCTTCTCTCTCTTTCCAGTTTATTCTGTCTATATCTTGTTTGGCCATAGTCTTTTTTCCATATTGTCTCCCCCATTGGACTGAGCTCCCTCAGAGCAGAGGCTGTGTCCCCAGCACTTATCAAAGTGCATGGCACATAATGTATGTTATTGACTGACTTACCGATGTGCTAGATAGAACACTGCCCTTGAAGTCAGAAGGACCTATACTGACTGAATGACTGGGCAAATCCTTTCATCTTGGTCTGCTGCTAGACAGCTCTCTAAGACTATAAATGACAGATGAGTTAATGATGTGTATCACAGTGAAAGGCATTTCCACATGAAGTTTCCCATCACATGAAATCAGAGGTCCAAAATTAATAATAGCAATAGTATCACTAGTGAAATAACAGCTTACCATTGCAAAGTACTTTTCAGCCATTACCTCCTTTGTCCACAATCCAATTCCACAAATATTTATTAAAAGTGCCTACTGTGAGCCAGACAATGTGCTTAAAAACTCAGATCGGTCCAAGCTGGGAAGCCTAGACTAGAATCATGGCGTCAGACACAAAGGGGGCATCTCTAAGAGTCATCCTTATACCTCAAGGCTGGCAGAAAGAGGAGGCCGGTAGTATAGCCATACGGTAATGGCTTAGCAAGCAATTAAGGTATGTCCATGACTCATGGGAAGAAGTTGGAGATACTGGTGCCTGTTTTTAAGTGGGAGTGGGTGGGTGTGAAGGGCCCCTATTATGCATCCCTGAGCAGGACTGTGCCCTCTAAATTTCCACGTCCTGGGACTCAGCCCTAGTTGCCCTACCCTAGTTCCAGTTCTGTTTTGCCTATTCCATAACTTGAGTGGTGGTCGGGTGGTGTTGGCAGGTTCCTCTCTCCTTTGCTTTGGTACCAATTAGCATGTTTTAAAAGACGAGCTCCTGGAAAAGAAAAAGAAAATCAACTATCGGCCAAACCCATTTTCAGGCTTTGAACAATTTCATCCTTTTGGCTGATGATGGCCAAGTGACCCACATTTTAAAAGCATTTACAATTAAATGATAGCACATCCTTTTGTTCCACTGGCTTTCCCAGTGAAAAGCTAAAATGTTTTAAAATTGTCCCCTTTTTGACAAAGGTAATGGCTGTAATATATTTCAGGCCTCCCCTTGTAGAGCTCAGAATGGGAAGGGTAATAAAGGACACAGCTGTGGATACTTTATGGCCTGCTGGGGGAGAAGACGGGCGAGGAGGCCAAAAGCAGATGGACCGTGTGTCAACTGATGCAGCTGGGAAAAGAGAAAAGGAAACCCCCTCCAAGGCCTCCTCTGTAACTTGGAGCCCAAGATAAATGGCGCTCTCCTATTTGGAGAAGGGGGGGAAAGTGGAGGTCAAATTCAATAAAGGCTGACTGAAAAGAGACGGGCCCCACAGGGGAAGCCTTTCTTCTCCTCTTTCCAGACAGATCCCAAGAGAAATGAGCAAAAGTGACTACAGACAAGGTGGGGGCGGGGGTGGGGGTGGGTGTTCACAGCCAAGGGATAAAACAAAAGTCCATCCTGGCAAACTGTGACAGCGGCTGGGCCCCCCCTCCCCTCCAGTGCTGGAAAGGGCATGAGGCATGGAATGGGTGCCCTGATTGACGATGACGGGCCAGGGAGGCCGTTCACCTCCACTTCCTGCCCTCGTAGGTTGGTGGTATTTTAGAGATGGAAAGGCCGTAGAGGTACTCCAGGCCAACCCCTCCATTTTACAATGAAGAAACTGAGGTCCAGAGGGGTTGAGGCACAGAACCAAGATTCAAACACCAGTCTTCCAACTCTTTATCCAGTGCTCTGTACACGATAGTCATTGGTGGGAAATAAGGGGTCTAGGGATGAATGTCAGTTGGTGATGAGATGTCCTGATCGCACTTGACTGGGAGCCAGGAGTCCTGGGATGGAGATTTAGCTTTGCTATGTGACCTTGGGCAAGTCATTTTTCTTTCCAGCGCCTTAGCATCATCGTGAATCAAATAGGGTGGGGGAAACTAGATGGTACCCAAGGGTCCCTTCTGGCTCTGACATTGTCACAGTCTGTTTGGTGTCCTCAAACCCATAAGAACTGTATGTGGAGCTGAACCAGATCTATCCCCAGGCTCCCCAGCCAAACATCAACATCTTCCTTTAGAGGAAGAAGGATCAAGGCGAGCCCCTATCCCCTCCCCACTGTGGCGTTTGCTCTGCCCCTGGTGTGAAAGGACAAATTCAGTCTTGCTCAGGGTCTCACAGGATAAAGAGTGCATAGAGATCTAGTCTAGGGGTTCTTAACCTGAGGTCTAGGGAAATCACATTCTTAAATAAATTTCAGAGAATCCGTGAACTCAGAGAGGAAAAAAAAACGCATTCTTCTTTTCACTAAGCTTTGGTTTCCTTCACCATCTTGTGTCTTTTATTTTACACATTTAAAAATCTGTTTCTAAGAAGGGGTGCCTGGACTTCACCAGACTGACTGCTTAAGGGGCATTTGAAATCCCAGCCCTGACATGAAAAATCTGCGTGACCTTGGACAAGTCCCTTCTCTTCGAGACTCTATTATCCCTCTAAATAGGAATAATAATGCTGATACTACTTGCCAGGGTTGTTCTGAAGAAGGTGCTTTACAAACCCCCAAATCCCATAAAAATGTGACTTATTATCACGATTTGGAGGCATTCTGTAAAAATCAAGGTATCCCCCATCTATTGGGAAATGACTAAACACTTTTGGTCCACGTGAGTGTCATGGAATATTATTGGGCCACAGGAAATAACATGATAAATACAGAGAAGCAAGGTAAGACCCTTATGAACTGATGCAAAGTACAATAAGCAGAACCAGGAAAACAACATATACAATGAATGTTGTTGCTTAGCTGTTTTTTCAGTTGTGTCTGACTCTCATTTGGAGTTTTCTTGGCAAGGATACTGGAGGGGTTTGCCATTTCCTTCTCCAGCTCATTTTACAGATGGGGAAATTGAGGCAAACAGGGTGAAGTGACTTGCCC